CACACACACACACACACACACACACACACACACACACACACACACACACATATAATCCAGCATTTTTGTGTCTTTTTTGTTATCCTTCTCAATATTGCACATTGCTGTTGCCATTATGTTGTCTACAAGAATTATCAAGATGTTGTCAAACAGTTCAGAGTTTTTATCAAAGGTTTTTGTAGAAAAGTTTTCGTCTGCTAGTTGAGGATGTGCTCTAGCGTATGGAAGCGTCCAGCTGTCGTCAGTGCCTTCACTACATGCAGAGTGAGCCTCACAGATTCCATCGGTCATGATTTCTTCTGTAGATTTAGCTCAGTGATCCAAGGATCTGAGCAGATTCCTTCGTGTTTTTGACAAGCCAGAAGTAACGAGGCAAATGTTGTCTCTAGGTTTTTGTTCTTCTCTCTTTTTTAATTTGCTGGCACGCTGCGCATATATTTTGTTTTGTTAACATTGTGCTTAGTAACTTAGTAACAGCACCCATCTTGATCACTGATATATTGCAAACCTTTTTCAATTGGAGATGTTTCCTCCTTTTTTTTGTTTTTTTGCTGATTGTGACCTGGAGTAACACAAACGTGGAAAAAAGAAATGATGTGTAAAGATCCCTGAACTGTCCCGCCTGAAACAATGGATCTGTGTCGGAGTGAAAGGCCACAGCATTTTGTCTCTTTTTGTTGATAAGAAATTTCTTTGGGGCCATATTTGCACTGACTGTTTTGTTTGATGATTATTCTGCTGGGTTGTGCGTTTTCCAGGGCCAATGCAGAACTCAGGTACACACAATCTGAAACGCCCTCGACTTTGCAACCTCAATCACTGTTTGACTTCGGACTTCTACCCACTTTTAGAGAAACTCTCTTATCGGCACGCGGACTCACCCTTTAGTGAGCCGAGTTTCTCTTCAAGGAAGCATGCTGTCTCTCAATAATGTGCATAATCTCTGGACTTCTATCTTAGTACTCTCCTCTGTGACAAGTCACCCTGCCCCGTTCTTCCCAGCCAGACAATCAAGAATGTCTCTGTGTGTCCCTGTATCTGCAGCATCTCCCGTGTCCACGTCTTCCATCACAGCAAGATGTTCTGTACCTGTCCACGGCAGAAGAGAGGAGATATATCTGGGCGGGAGGGATTTAAAAAAAAAAAATCTTGCTTTAAAAACCACACTACGCACGCTCTTATGATTAGGGTTCTTACTTTTTATATATCAGTTACTGTAATTAAAAATGAATGCTACTTCAGTTTTTGACTTCTTGCTTTCATTTGATATTTTTACATTATTTCTGTGAATTCAGAAAACATACAAAGGAACGCATTACAAGAACTACTAGTGGCTCTTAGGAGATCTCATCCCTCTGCCAAAACACCAAACGCACGTGTTAACAAACAAATGCAGATGAAAACATAACCCTCTTGGCCTATTTGACTTGGCCTGTCGGCTCAGGTGAAGCCACCACAAACTGAACTGACTCATTCACCAAGTGACACAAAACAAATCCAGCTGCGGGGCTGTGAAATGAAAAGGCTTCACAACCTGAATGATGCATGAATTAATACCAGGTAAATGAACTAAAATGTTTAAAAATGGAATTAAGATAAACTTTCTGGATTCACACAGAAATGAAATGGGTTCTTCCTTGAGTCACCCCTCCATAAAGTTTCTTGGGAACCAGGTTAGTAGTTTTTGTGTAATTACACTTACTTATACACAAATGAACCCAGATGAAAACACAACCTCTTTGGTGGAGGAAATGTAAAATCCTCAAACAAAACAACAAACTAAACAGCGAACTGAAGAAATAAATCTTTATTTTTCATACAGCACATTCTATTAAGGGTGTAATATGGAAGATGAGTTTACAAAGTGTGTGATGAGTAAAGCAGAAACGACTGCACTGTGATAAGATGAGCGTCACAGCTCATGTCCACAATCTGAAGGGTGCAGCAGGTAAATGGTATTCTACAGCAGGTTTGTGCTGTATGTGTCATTAAGGCAAAAGTCCCGTCGCCATGATCGTCGAGCTCTACACAGAGTTAAGTTTGATGGCGAAGGACAATGACGATATCACCTGTTGTACAAAGTTATATACATGAGGGAGATGAGGATAAAGATCATGTGTCTGCCTTTCAGGATGCATCTCTGTAAATGTTTGCAATTTTCTCTCCTCGCTGCAGCAGACAGATATTTTAGAATCAATCCCAGAGTTGCAGCATTTTCATAAAGACCTAAAACACAGAGGTCCTCAAAAAGTACATTCTTCTACTGTCCTATGGCAACAGGAATGATTTCCAACAGTTGTGTTTCGGCGATAAACAAGCAACATGACCGGCATACAATATTTTTCTTTGACTGGGTTTATTCATCTAGCTCTGAAGTGCAGGCAAGAATGTGGTCATTTAAAAGTCGCCACTACACACAAGGACGAAAATAGACATTGTTTTAAATATATGAGCATCTGGAAATAAAACGCTTCCACAGGAGAGTTTGCAGCAGTAAGTGCTTCTGTCTCATCCAGGACCAGAAACAGCTGCTGGTCAGTTAAAGGCAGGAGAGAGCTGCACGTCCTGGGTGTGAGGACGATGGGAGGCTGGGGAGGACTTGTGGGAATCGAAGAAAGACGGGTGGAGAGCTGGACGGATCAGATGACTGGTGCAGAGCGGTCGTTGGTGACGGTCGGACGTAGCCTGACTGTGGCGAACGGATTCCCTCCCCTGTGGACATGCAGCAGAGACAAGTGATGAATTTGTGTCTGAGCAAAAAAGAGAAAAGTGCACCATCGTCATCCTCGGCTGTGACTTACGCGAGGAAAGCGGGTGAAGGTCTGGAGACGCCATTTGGCTGTGCCCCCTGTGGAGAAAACAGATACACAGTCTATCACATGGTGCGTAACCATGACCCGTTTGCACTACGAATGCAACAATCACCCCCCGTTCAGACATGTGTCTTGCATTTTCCTATTTTAGGCTGCAGGAGTGGACAAGCTGGATAAAAACACGGGTGAGGGAGAGTGTGGGAAAGACGTCGCGTTGCATCACATCACAAGACAGCGTGTGGAATCTGGACCTTCTGGAATTTCAAGTTTCCTCAAGTGCATTAAGTTTTCTTATGACAAGTTAGTGAACACAGACACAGGAGAGAATATTGAATGAATATGTTTGTCTTGCTTGTATTTGCAGACTGAACTCTAGTATAGATGCAGATGGCGTTTGTACCCAACTTGCATCCACAATTAAATGAGCAAATCAAAGAACCCCAATTTTCCCCACTTCAGAATGTTGTCAGCACAGTGGTCGTGAACCTTTGAGGTTGTGGTTAAACCTCAGAAACTACCGTGTGTGTGTGTGACAGCCAACAAAATCCCTCCCTGTGTGCTGCTCAGTATAACGTTTACTTGAGGTTTAAACTTTACAATTAACACACTTAAAAAAAAAAAAGAAGTGAAGAAAAACTAAAAATTTATAAAGTGTTAAAAATCTAAAATGACACACTCACAGTCACTAGAGTAAACTGTTGTGATTGTTTAATGTAGTAGAAACACTAATAGTTGATCTTTCAGACAGCAGGTATTTAAGATGCCTTCCACCTGCAGTACTTCACATATTCCACAAGAGGTCAGAAGTAGATAGAGACTGATGTTCCAGCCTGTTATTTCCCACATGACCAAAGTTTCACATCTGTCCTCTTGCAGATGTTGGGATCACAGATCATGCAGCAGTAATCAGGTCTGGGAAAGGACACATTTCTTTACTCACATGGACAGATCATGTGGTTTCTTTTTTTTTTTTTTACACCACACGTACTGCTGCTATTCTCCTTTAACGATTCAACCTGCGATTCATCAGTCCATAAAACATTTTCCTACAAACTGTGACACCAGCTCTAATGCTTCCTTGACACGTTAAGCTGTTATAGTTTGTTGAACTGTAGACTGATGAATGTCTCAACTCTTTAGTTGACTTTGTGACCCTTTCAAGGTTTATGCAAATCAACAATACAAGAGCTTCTTCTGAAATCTGAGGCATGTCGCAGCCTCGTCAAATGTTTGACTTATTTAAAGTAGCTCTAACACACACATGCACAACTCAAGGCATTCATTGGCATAATGCATTCCCCAGCTCCTTCTCCTAATCTTAACAATCACAACTAAATGCCTACCCCTACCCCCAAAACCAAGTCTTAACCCTCAAATGTCCTCACAATGACGTATTGAACCAAAATTGGCCCTCAAAACTATAGACACACACACACACACACACACACACACACACACACA